TAGATAACTCATAGATCATGAGAGGAATTATCCTACTCATGACTTAGAGTTAGCAGCGGTGGTGCTTATGTTGAAGATTTGGAGACATTATCTTTTTGGTTCTAGATTTGGAGTATTTAGAGACCATAAGAGTTTAAAGTATTTATTTGATCAGAAGTAATTGAATATGAGACAACAAAGATGGTTGGAGTTGATTAAAGATTATTATTTCGGTTTGAATTATCATCCAGGTAAAGCTAATGTTGTGGCTGATGTTTTAGGTCGAAAGACTTTACATATGTCAGCAATGATGGTTAAAGAATTGGAATTAATTGAACAGTTCAGAGATATGAGCTTAGTTTGCAAAGTGACACCGAGGGGTGTTATGTTGGGGATGTTGAAGATTAAAAATGATTTTCTAGACAGTATCAAAGAAGGCCAAAAGTTAAATGTAAAACTGGTAGATTCGGTGGTTGGATCGATCAGTATGAGAATGATGATTTTAAGTGAGATGTGTAGGGTGTGTTGAGATTCCGTAATCGAATTTGCATTCCTGATGATGCAGAGATGAAAAAAGTAATTCTTGAGTTGGAGGATACTTAACCTTTGTGTGAGGCTAAGTGAGTGTAATGTGGACCTTGTAATATGTTGAGCGGTGGCGTCTCATCGACAAAATCGAAGGAGAGAGAAATTATGGGAGTATTTGTAAACCTCATTGGAAATTATTGGATTATGGTGTTTGAGGCGACTTGAGTATAAGTTCTAAAGGAACACTATTATAGTTTGATAACGATGGTTTATACTCCATTATGGTTTACGGCTATCTATTGATAAATTGAGAAATTGATCATCCTTAATCTCTTGTTGATGGTAGACGAGATCATGTTGGATGGTGTAGACTTGTCTTGCTATCTTAAATGTGTGTAAAGTGATTGATGTTATATCATGAGGATAGTCGCTCATCAGTTTGTGTGAATTTATAGAGGAGTGGCTAGGAAAGAGTTGAGGCATATTGAACAATTCGGAGTAGCAGGTTTATATGCGAGCTAACATCACAAAGTGAAATATTGAGAATATCAAGTGAACAACGATTTTTTTGTGGATGTATAAGAAAGTATGAAACTAGATTGAAGCTTGTAAATCATATAGTTGATGGAAATTTTAATGAGGACAGTGACTTAAGATGGATGATCAAAGTTGCGCATCTGAAGCGTGATGTGGTACAGTTGCTATGCATGTACGACTCGTTAGAAGTGAATGACTAAATATCAGAAGTCTATGGGAATGATATGTCTTGATCTACATGTTTGATTTGGTGGATTGTTGATATAGGGATGATGTGCTGGGGTACTGTGTTTTCTCATAAATATTTGCTGATTTTATAAGGATGTTAATGTGGTTGTTGGTTGATGGTAAGTTATGTGCATATTTTTTGAGTTATACTGTTAAGTTGATGTTACAATGATTTTGTTCCCATTGTCGTGATGTTGTTGTTTGTTACTGTAAGTGATGAATATTACTCCATAATGTGACTAAGTTGATTATGTTGGCTATGTTGGCTATGTTGATGTCACTATGAGGGTGATACGATGATATGAATAGAGTTGGAAATATTGTTAAGATGACAAGGTGATGTTGTATATCCGAGTATAAATGTGTTATAGTTGTTACTACTTTAAATGTTGATATGTCAAGATATTGTTAAAGTGGTTAATAAGTTGTTAACGATTATGTCGCGGAGGTGTTGAATGATTAATATTTGTGTATTTGATTTAAATCGTGTTGAGTTATTGTTATGTCGAGAAGATAGTGGTCAAAGTATTGTCAGATGCGACTTGGGGATCAGAAAGTGTGATGTGAAATTCGCGTTAAAAGTGGTAGTATCGAGTAGATTTTCGAGGACAAAAATATTATAAGTGGGGGAGAGTTGTAACGCCTGTTAATTTAATTAATTATTTAATTAAAATATTTAATTAAATTATTTTTGGATTATTTGTTGAAGTTGTGAGATGTTGTGGATTGTTGGTATAAGTTGTTAGATTATTATTAATTAATTAATTAGTTGATTAATAATAATAACAATGTTAGAATTATTAGTATTAGTCGTTGGGCTTATTTTGATGGTATATAGTATTAAGGGGGTGTGAGAATTAGGTCCAATAACAATATTAATATTATTGAGTTTAGTTATAATAATAGAAAAATAGGTTTTTGTCAAGAAGAAGAGGAATAAGGGTTACAAGAGAGAAAGAGAACGTGGAAGTTGCAGAGAAGAAAGAAAAGAGGTAAAGCGGGATTCGATCGGAAAATTATAGAGTAATCTTCAATCCAAGGTAAGAGTGGGATTTTGACTCTATAATTGAGTATATGATTAATATTACGTAGGAATTGGGTTGTGTAAAATTGTTACTGTAGGTGATGGTTGTATGAACAAATTATTGTTTGGTTTATGTGATAATTGTGCTAACGTTGCAGTAATTCAATCGATGAATTGAGTGTTGGAAATTATTATATATTGATGTGGGTATAGTTATTATGTTGTTGTGAATACATAGTGTTGGCCTGAGATCATGGAAAGGAAAAGAATTACTGATCACAAGAAGTCTGAACGAAATTACAGAACAGGAATTATGGACATGTGCCGAGCGACACATGTATGTTGGTGAAGGGTGTTGACTGGCACCATGTTCATGCCGAGGGGCATGGGTCTGCATGTCGAGGGACATGACCCTTAACCATTAATTCCTTTAATTATTTTCTGTGCCTTATTGTGTGTCTGTTACTTTAATTTTTTGTTACAGAATTTAGATGTAGCATAGTTAGAAAAGGGTGAATAACAGTAGGGATTATTTACTAGTAACAGTAGTGAATAATTTATGAATTAATATAAATATAGGAGTAAGATTATTATGTTATAGAGTTATTAACTTTATGATTTTAGTTGCAGAGCTGATAGTAAATAACAGAAATATTAGTAACCAAAATATATTAGCAGTAGAGAGGACTTAAGTGGCTGGGAAATAATAGTTTCATTAATCTAGCCGAAAACTATTAATGAGGCTTATGGCAGAATAGGTTAGTAGAAGTATTTTAGTAGGATTGGGTTAATAATATTATTGGCATGTGTAAGTGGTTGTGTTGTTGTTATTAATTGTGAAGTTGCAGGTAGTGGTGAGTTATGTTGTATTGCATCTATAATTGGTAATTATTAAGTTGTAGGTTTATGGCCAATGTTGAATTAAGTTGAATTACTAAGTTGTAGGCTTATGCCAAAGTTGCGTTAATTGTTGTTACTGAAATATCAAGTTGTAGGCCTATGGCCAATGTTGAATTATTATTAAATTGTAGGCTTATGCCAATGTTGTTATGTTGTTGTTGTTATTATTGCATTTAATCATGTTGTCACATACATCGCATATCAAGTTGGAGATGATGCTCGTTAAGTTGGTATGAATTGGCAAAATATTAAGTTGGAGGCTTGTGCCTTGTTGCTGCCTCTATTAATTGACAATGTTTCTAAGTTGAGAGTTATGCTCCGTTTTTAAGTTGGAAGTTCTGCTCCACTGGTACCACATGCATGTGCATAATAGCAAGTTACATTCCACGTTGCACATTTGGGTTGTCGTGTTGATGAATTAATTATTATGTTAGTTGATGTTTTGTTGTGATTGATGTTGTTTAAAGTTGTGAAGTGGTGATTTGTATAGACTAATTCTAATGTAATATTTATCAGACAATCGATTATATTGTTCGATATTTCACCCCTTCTGTTTGAATGTTACCCCGATGTTGATAACGTGCAGGTAATCCAGAGTGAAGGTTGTTTACCTTCAGTAGTTCGAGTTAGTGTCATTGCTCTGATATGTAACACTCGGGGGGATGAACGCTTGTTGTTTTATTGTTATTAATTCAGTTGATTGAACTTTAAGTTGTTGTTCGTTAAATACTTATTATTTGAAGTTGTTTTAGTTGGACGAAGATGATATATTGTTTTAAGTTGAATATTTGATTCCGTTGCGTAGTCATAAAAGTTATTGGTTTCAAAATATTAATTTATGTTGCTGTTGGTTCATCCAGGTTTAATGTGTTATGTATCTGTAATAAATATCGTATGTTTTAAGTTGAAAATTGTAGCATCCTGATCAAGTTGTCGGAATTTTATAACTATGATCTTTATAATAATTATCGGATAGAATTAGGGTGTTACAATTACCACCCTCTAGATTTTGATATTTCTCAAGACAATAAAGTTGATAATCAATTACAGATTTTATGTAACAGATTACATAGTTGAAAATTTTATTTTTTATTTAGTTGGTTAGGTGAACTTTTGGATATTGTTTTATACATAACCCATGTTGAATTGTTATTGAATAATCATCATTGTTCACCTTAATTCTCCCTAATTCTCTCTCTCACTTGTTTATCATTTTATTTCTCGAGTAGGGTTTTGCTCCAACCGACTTAGCAAAAATGATATTTCCTCCGACTTTATTTATAAATAAAAATTCTCTTTTTAAATTAATTGGATAATAAATATATACGATCTACATAAAATATCAGATATATTCATTATTTAATAAACCTAAAATAAAAATATTTGTTTATAATAATAGCTAGAGAAAGTAGTTAATTTGTTGACCCTCTAATTAACACAAATACACATTCTTGCCTTAGGTTAAATTTAAGCTTCCTAAATATATTTAGCATTACTCAATTAAGAAAAACATGAGATATTGAGCGTATATGAGAGTCTAATCAGTTGTTTCGGAAAGGGCCATCTAATTAATAAACGCAACAAAACTCAGCAGTTTGCTGCCGCTTTGCCCTCGTTGTTTTAGAAACATTCCGGATTCACAACAGTGAACTACTCAAGTCTTTAAGGTATGAATTTTCCTCCCCTTTCAATAACCTAATTCGATGCGCTGATTCCTATTGTGATTCTTTTTTATTTCTTCTTCACAATCTCTTGTTAGATTTGATTTGATTTGAACAGGTTAGTGTTGCATCCAGTTTCTGAGATGGGTGTAGTGAAGGGTGTCATATTGGATGAATCAGTAGTCTTGGATGGAGAAAATGATGATAAAAATGTATCATCACTACGGCCAGGAGTTGAATCTCTCATCAAAACACTCTTCTTATCTGGAACGCGTATTGGAATTGCTTATAGTGTTGATCTTTCCAACGATAGGGTTAGTATTTTGAAAAGAATAGCTACTTTATACTCACTTCATTGGTTTATCTTAAATGATCCTGTAAATGAAGTTGTTTTGCCTGAATGGTGTAATGTTGAGAATGAGAGTGTTATTTATCTGGTTTCTAGCAAGAAGGACTTGTTATTACCTAAATTAAGAAGCTATAATTGGTTGGTTGCTGTTCTGAATGTTGGAGGTGAAACTGAATCCGACACTCCAAATATTGATGATTTAGCAGAGTTGCCATTGACCATTTGCCGGTTGAATAAAAGGTTAACCGGAAGCAATTTGTTGACTGTGGCTTATACAATGAAGCCTTCTCGTGTTGATGATTTTGCCAAGAGGGGTGCGTTTCCTTTGTGTCCTACAGAAAATGGTTTAATGTTTGTGCCTCTTATGGCCACACTTCCTTTGGCGTCTCAGTTAAAGGATGTTGATATTGTCCTTCATAAAGCCACAGATGAAATTTTATCTGTTGAAGAGAATAAACTTACGTTTACACAAAACATGCAAGAACTACAAAGGTATTTGGATCAGAATCAGGATTTCTGTGTGGTTGATCCGTTGGTTAACATTTATCCTATATTGTATCGGCTAGAAATTCAAAAAGTTTTACTTGGCTTGTTAGAACTGAATACCGGAGGTAGCTGTTTGATAAGAGGGGCCCATTTTCTGAAGGTTGATAGTTTTAGCCAAGTTAATTTTGCATATGAATTAGCTGAAGCTGGATTGTCTCTTCCATGTATAGTGAAACCTAATGTTGCTTGTGGTGTCAGTGATGCTCATAAGATGGCAATAGTTTTCAGAGTTGAAGATTTTAAGAGGATAAACGTTCCTCTACCAGCTGTTATTCAGGAATATGTGGATCATTCGTCTACTTTATACAAATTTTATGTCTTGGGTGAGAAAGTTTTCTATGCTGTCAAAAAGTCGATACCAAATGCTGATATTTTGATGAAATTATCTAGTGGTAATAATCTCAAACCTCTAGAGTTTGATAGTTTGAAATCTCTACCCACTGCCGAAAGCACCACCGTGGCTTCTGGTGCCAGTAACAAACCTATTGACCTTAAGCTGGTTACGGATGCTGCAAATTGGCTTAGGAAAAGGCTTTGTCTCACAATCTTTGGTTTTGATGTTGTTATTCAGGAAGGAACTCATGATCATGTAATTGTGGATGTAAACTACCTCCCATCGTTTAAGGAAGTACCTGATGACATCTCTATCCCTTCCTTCTGGGCAGCCATTAAAAATAAGTTTGACGGTATGGTTTCTAAACAAGCACGTGCTTGAATGAACATCACGACTTTGACAGGAAAGCTTGCCGGTGATTACATCAGACCTTTGATCAGGCACTGGATCATATCATGCTAAAAATGAGGTTGAATAATTTTAGTGTTGCAATGTTTGAAGTTTGAAATACTTAACACTTAGTTATCATACAATTCTGCTATTTGGTGTTTTATTGCCTTGCATGTAAAATAAATTATGTGAAATTTGTTGAATGCTGGTAGTTAAGTCTTTATACATGTGAGGTGATATGTCTTGGTCTGAGTCTTCAAAATCATTTTATTCCTTTCATTGTAACATATAATTGACATAGAAAATACCTCTTTTACCTCCTTTTTCTCTCTAAAATCCTTATGCAAACATAGGTCTGAGTGTTCACAACACAAATTGATCTTTCTTAGGATCCATAACCAGGAAAAAAAACTCACTTCAAGTGATCTATGCCTAAACATCAAACCTAATCTGAGTACTATAAGTGTTAAAATGCATAGAGATGTCTATGAATACACTTGCTAGAGTTGAGGACAAAAATAACTTGCTTCAGAATCTCCCACACAGAAGGGTTGTGTTGGTGCTTCTAGTTAAAATACTAGGACTACTATTGACAAGTGACTATTGAGCTCCTGCTTCTTCATGAATGTCTCCTTCTTCAACTGGACTGAAACTCACTCGTTTCTGAAAATTCAAATTCAACCTTTAACATTAGATTAATCTCATATTATCCGATAATATTATTCTATATAATTTGTTGCAGTCGTAGAATTGTTTGGAAGATGTAAGTTTGAACAAAAACAATTTTTTTTAAAAATTTAGTATTTAACTATAGCTTTTCAACAATGTTAAAAATAAGCATCAATCAACTTTTGAAGCTACCTCATTCTTACATTTGACTTATACTACGGCGTGAGGCATGTTAATACCATGTTAGATAGCTTAGTCAGAAACGTCATAAACAACATAGAAAGCCTAAGATAAGAGAAAATATTCATCCACGTTATGTAAAATTTGCAATAAAAATTTATTTCCTTAACTTTCTCCTTGGCATCAGCAAGATAAGTTTGATGCCAACCCATGTTTTAAGTGAAATAAATATTCATAATCTGTCTCAGTTATGCTTTCATTCCTAAGATTTTATCCCCTTTCTGTATATAAAATGGTTGCCAGAATTTTCGGTTATTGAGTTTGAAAATGTCAATACTTTGACATGAACTTTCCACTTATTGAGTTTGAAAATGTCAATACTTTGACATTTACATTTGATCTTATTGATAAGTTATTATTCAATATCATCTTATGGTCAGCTAAAAAGAAAATTGTTAGATCCAGAATTTATTTGTTGATTCATCATTCCTATATATATATATATATATATATATATATATATATATATATATATATATATATATATATATATATATATATATATATATATATATATATTATATATATATAGGGTGGCAAAACAGGTCCGGTCTGTTGGACATTTTACCTGCACTTTAGTGCGGGACGGACCAAGAATTTAGACTCTCACCCTCTAATGTGACCGTCCCATCCTATTTTTTTCGCGGACATGATTATTAACATAAAATTTTGTATTTGTAGCCTAAAAGGTACAGTACCTGCGGGCTTTCTCCACCCCGCACTCACTTTTTGCAGGACGGACCTAAATTTTAGACCCTCATCCTCAACTATACACGCCCCACCCCGTTCTTTTTTTTGTGCGCTTTTGCGAGGCAGACATGCCCGTTTACCACCTCTATATATATATATATATATATATATATATATATATATATATATATATATATATATATATATATATATATATATATATATATATATATATATATATATATATATATATATATATATATATATATATATATATATATATATATATATATATATATATATATAATCTTTCCCGGTGGCTTTTTTAAATTGTAAAGTCATACTCCTTTAGTGAGAAAGTAGATTAAGAAACTCAAAATTTAATTAAAAATTCATTAATATATTTTTTTTTAATTTTTACTTTGCAATAATAAAATAATTAAAGAATTTATTACTATAAAGTGTCATTATAAAATTGTTTATACCATCGATACATTATAACTATTAAAATATATATTTTAAAAAAAGGTAAAATTAAAATAAAATTATTCAAATAAATCAACAGTTGTAATTCATTAACTATGTAAAATTTCTTTAAGACATCACCCTTAATATATTTCAATTAAACCCATAATTAAATTACAATACAAACAAAACAATACTTACAAAATCAGCAAAGAAAAAATAGTGTCTATACACACCAAAACCTTTGAATTGCTTAAGATTTATTTATTTATTTATTATCAATAATCAATACTAATAATAATAATACAACACTACACATGCAAGTTGTCAACAAAAAAAAATCCCACATGCAAAACTCAAACAATTCACAAATTTTCAAAAAAATTAGAATGCAAATAATAACAAATGATAATTGAAAAAACACATACCCTTCGTGACCTTTGATTATGAATCTCAATTTTGGCTTCAGCCGTTCCACCACCAGTCTCCACGGCGGCATTATTCCCCATATACAAACTCAAAATCTTCTCCGCCACCTCCGTTCCGTCGCAACTCTCCTCCATCAACCTATCCAATTGCGCCTTCGGCAGCCTCATTTTCACCCGAGTCGACCCATCCCTCACCAAACCCGCCCCACCCTCACCCAAACCGGACCGTTTCACCAAAGACACATCCGAAACGCTCCGTTTCGACAACATCAAAAAATCGAGCCTCTCCATAGCATTCATGCCACGTAAGCCAGTAGATCGTGCCCTCCGTGGCACCGGCTCGGGCTGAAGCTTGGGTAATTCAACTAAGAAGTAGATTTTCTTGGGCTTTAGTTCTTGGTAGGGCTCAAGCGGCTTGGCCCGAAGCCCGAACTGTTTAACGGCTTGCGAGTCGAGAAGAGCGTGACCGGGATAGTGTTTAACGACGTCGTTTGCTTGTGCAGGAGTTTTTAGCTTGAAGGTTTCTCCGTTTATTTTCATTACCTTTGCTTTTTTGTTTCTTCTTATCATAACGTTTCCCATCTCTTACCAGAACACTTTTTTCTAAGTTTTCCTTTCTGTTTTGATATTTTCAATTTTGATTGGAGGTGATAATATTAATAGGACGTGATAATATTAATAGGACGTGATAATAGTAATAATAATAACAATATATTAATACTTGATGTATTTAATAATATTGCCGTCACGGGATACGTTATTTAGTAAGTGACAAAAGCAAATAGTATGTGAATTAGTGGAAATTCGGAAGAAATTTCATATAAATTAAGAAAGTATCTATGACTTTATTTAATAGTAATGTGAAACTACATCTTTACATAGCAAACTAAAGTGTTACAGGTTAATATCAGTTTGATGGTTCTTAATATAACTGCTACAGTTACATTTTTAGTCATTTCTTTAAGGTTATGTTTTGTAAAAATTAACAAATATGGTGTAGATTCTTTCCCCCATTTTTTGTGTGTTTTACTTTATGCAAGTGTTTATTTGTTTTTAAGTGACGCTAGTTGATATTTCGTATTCTATCATATTAACATTTTTATTTTATTTGAAATTATAAAAGGTAAGAAGATGTAGTTAAGAATAAAAACAAAAATAAAGAAGAAGGACTAATTTACATTGAAAGTGTTATGCCATGAATTATACACATTCACTAAATAACATCATATTAAATAAATATTTTATATTAAATGCTATTAATGTAATGTTATATGTTATCAAAATTAACGTTGATTGGTTCAGTAGTAATTAACGTTGAACTAATAGAGAAGATTATAATTTAATTTCTCATAACTGCGATCGAGAGAGAACTGAAATCACTTAATATCAGAACTGACCTTTAAATCGGACTATACCGATAATGAAAAGTCAAAAAAAAAAAAAATTTAACACCAGTGATATAGTTATATATAATGGTCATTTTAATTTTTTTTAATATATAAAATAAGTATAGATAAATATAAAAAAATAATATATATATATATATATATATATATATATATATATATATATATATATATATATATATATATATATATATATATATATATATATATATATATATATATATATATATATATATATATATATATATATATATCATATGAGAATGTTATTTTTATATGAGAATATGAGAATAAATTTGGATCATTGAATTAAAATATATTTTTAAAATTGATTATTAATTTCTCTTTTCTATTAAAGGCCTCTGATTTTTATTTTATTTTTGATCCATGATTTAATGAAAGATATGGTTTAATCTCAATCTTTCTTTTTAAATATGTTGATTTTTATTCATTCTTACATTCTCATATAATTTACTTATTTTCACTAAGTATTCTATATATATTCACGCAAAGAACATAATTTGATAATCACATTGATGCTGGTAGGAAGAGGTAGCATACTTAGCCTCGTTGGCAAGGGTCAATGAGGACTTTCTATTATGAATTTAAACATCTATGTGCTTTTGTGTCGAAATTCTCCTCTCTGTTGTATGATGGTGATCTGTTTATATAGGATCTACTCTCCTCTCTATCTTTAAATGACCAATTATTGGTAATTGAGATATCAGTTCCCTTGTCTCTTTGGGGAGATTAAGTATATTCAAATTATGTGTTTTCTTGTCTGCAATTTGCCATTTATGATCGTTTAACACGTTTTATCTGGCTTAAATATTTTGTCTACTAAATTATGTTGAACAAGTGACCTCAAACATAAGAGAGGGTGTAACATTCCAAAATCTAGAATTTATATTTTTGTGAACTATTATGACTATTGTATAATTTTATGTCGATATGTGTTGGGTTAGTGGTGTGATGTAGAGATTAACTTAAAATTATTTGGATTAAATAATTGTGGTTAGTTGTGGTTAGATGTGATTAATTGGTTTATGACCAAATTAATAATAATAATAATAATAATAATAATAATAATAATAATAATAATAATAATAATAATAATAATAATAATAGTTTTATAAAGTTTATTATATAATTAAATATTAAAATAGGATATTAAGGTGAAAAGGAGAATAAGAGCATAACGGTAAGTGTGTGTGAGCAAGTGAGGGTATAGTTGAAAAATCATAGAAAGATATTATTTTAATAGAGAAAATTAGAGAGAAAGATCATTTTGTACGATCGTAAAAAATTGAGAGAAATCGTAAAGAGAGAGTTAGGGCACAAAGAACCATGAGAAGTTTCTGTAGATCTCGAAGGAAGAATCAAATCGCAAGAAATTTGAGGTAAGAGGTGTAATTGGGTTTATTATGATTGATATGGGGTTAAGGTAGACATAGATTTTGTCTTATGTATGATTTGATGAATACCATGATGTAATTTTTGATAATGATGTTTGATATGCCATGAATTGAATAACTTATTTGTATGGTGATGTTGTGATCGATGATTGAATGATAAATTATGTAATGTTGTTGTGAAAATTATGCATTTGATAGAATTCTTGATGGTGGATGTTATGTCGTTGTGTGTGGTTGCGAGTCAGCATCAAAACTTAGCTATGGGTGTTTTCGATGAAAGATATTTGAGATTTGAAACTTTTAAAAAGTGTTTTTTTTGTGTTAAAACATAAACTAAATTATTCGTAAGAAAATGAGGTTTTGGGATGGCTTAAATTGATTTTCATTTTGGAAAAGTGGTAGAAAAGTGCTTATGGCAGCGAAGTAACTAGTTATTTGAAATGGCGTAACACGTTACTTTACTATTAAAATGTGTTATGGGCAATTTTGGATGAAGTAACCGATTACTTGAAATGAGGTAACCGTTTATCTCAAAGAAAAACTTCATATTTTATTTATGGATTTGAAGTAACCTGTTACTTGGATTCAACCGTTACTCTACTATGTCGAAAATTTTATAAAAACTTCAAAAATTCATAACTTTAGTTCTGGGTGTCCGATTAACGTGTCATTTGAAGCTGTAGAAAGTTGAGGCAAAATACTTTCATTTAAAATAGTTTCATGTTTCTTGAAATAATTTAAATGATGTGTAATAGTGTTGTAAGATGTGAAATTGTATGTTGCGCTTTGATGTCTTGTTATGAATGATGAAAATTGAGTGTTGTTGTAATGAGGTTGTTGTGATGTTAATGATGATACTGTAATGATGTTTTAATTATGTGTATGTTCAAATATATATACATGATATATGAAGATGATTTATGTGAATGATGATGCAATTGACTAGTTATGGTTGAACTTATATGTGAAATTGTTGTGCATCATACATTCATAGCATTTTTGGACGTTGGTCCGCTTGTGATGAGCCTCAATCCTATTGTATGGATTGGATGCGAGTAGCTAGATTCCTTGTCTGGGGATTTAGTGAAGCATTACCTAATAATGATGGTAGTGATTTATGTTGTGCTTCGATTTCAAGAGGGAATCAATCTTATGATGGAGATCATGGAGTATGATGAACCACGTGTTCATAAAATTGATACCACATGCATTGAGTCAGTGTTGTTGCATTAACATCCTATGTTACATTGCATGAATGTTGTTGATGAGTTGTGATGTGATGATAATAATGGACTATGTGATTAAATGATGGTTTGATGATGAAAGATGTCTAAATATTATTATGATGTACCGGAGAGTATGAAGTGTTGATGAGTGATATATGTTGTTATAAGATGATGTCATTTATAACTACTAATATTTTCCTTATATCTTTTATAATGAATTCTAATTACTCACCATTTCTGTTTGGATGTTGTCTCCATGTGGGTAACGTACAAATGCTCAGAAGTAGCTCGTAGGAGCTTTGAAGATAGCTTTGAAATATTTTATTAGTATTCGTTATTATAGTGGTGTCTTGCTCTGATATGTAACATCAGGTTGAAAATATTTGTTTTGTGAATTTTATATTTATTTAGTTAACGCATTTTATGAGGATTTTTGGAGATGTTGAACTAGTTTTAATTTCAATTTTTGATGAGACTAAAGTACTATGGGTTTTGACTTATGAAGAAGTTTATTTATGACGATGAATCTGCTGCAATAATTTAAATGATGTGTTGAATTATAATAAGATGTTATTTCTATTTGATGTAACTCGTGTTAAGGAGCAAAATTGTATTTATGTTATTTTATTATAAAGTGTGACACCCTTGTGTGATGGTTTTTAATTAAATTATTCGTGAATAATATGTGAGGTTTAGGAGGGTGTTACAGAGGAGGGTGAATTGTGGTATTTAAAAATGTGATTAATTTTAACCTTTCTCAATTAAGATCATATTAGTAAGTTTATAAGTGAGTAAGTGTTACAGAAGTAAAATGCAGAAAAGTAAATTGATGAAAATAAAGAGGATAAGAATAGAAAGATTGTACTAGAGAGTTATTCATCTTTGGACGAACGTTGGCTTACTCATATTCCCAAGATGTCTTCTTGAGGTTTTTCACTATATACTTTTAAGCTTTGAAAGGTTATGCCACGAACCTTAATACAATTTGATCTTGAGATTTTGAACATGTTTATTGTAACGCCTGGAAATTTATTAAATTATTTAAATGAATTATTGAGGATTTAAATTGTTGGAATTTAGTCGAAGAAGGAATTATCGGAATAATTATTAGGAGCATTATTGGATTGTTAGAATTGATAATCGAATAATTAGTCAATTTAGTCAAGAGAAATTAATATTGAAAATAATGTTGATTTTAGTAGAATGTTATTTTATTAGTTGGGTCAAGTGGGGTGTGTGAAATAGCAAGATTAGGAATAGAATTAATAGGCCCATTAAAGTTACTAGTAGACCTATTATTATATTAGGTTATAATATACAGAGGTTAGCAACCAAAAGCAAAACAGTTATCACGTAGCAGTAGAAGAAGCAAGGGTTTGGAGGCACCAAGTGGAAGGCAAGCAAATTTAGAGAACTCGCCTTCAAACCAGTTGCAGTTTTAACCGGAGAATTCGACCGACCGAAAAACCAAAAGGTAAGGGTGGGGTTCGGATTTTATAACCGGGAATATGATGGTTAGTATGTAAGATTGGGGT